TCCCCCCCCCCCCCCCCCCCCCCCAATCAGTTTTTTATTTAACCTTTTGTTTTGTCCACTTGTTCCACAGTGAAGTTTCTTAGTCATTCTGGTATTTTCGCTCCCAGTGAAGAAGGAACGACGACGGCTCTTTGTTTTGTTAATCCTGTACAACTTTATTCTGGACCTATCAGGGTGAAGTTCCTCTCCTCCTGTCTAACTGCTCACACACTCAGTTTTACTGTCCCGCTCCACAACTCCAACTCAAGTGTAGGGACCTAAACACAAGAGGCTTGGCCTTCGTCCAAGACAAGCGAGAGAGAAAGAGAGAGAGGTGCAGTCAATCCGTTGCCTCGCGTCCTTCCCTTCTTGACTCCGCTCCAGAAATGATGTAATGCTCCCTAGCTTTTTCGCCCTCCCCCATCCCAGTACCTCCATACCCCTTGATTTTATCCCTCCCTCTTCTCTTCTCTCCTCCTCCTCTCACTTTTCCCTCTCTTTCGCTCCTCCGCTCATCCAACGTCTCTGCACCGGCTCCTCGCTGGATGAAGTCAAGCTCTGGGGTAGATGCAGCGAAAAAACTTTTGAACGTAACCAAAACAGCCCAGGGCCACGTTCCAGACATTTGGGAGATGGTGGTGCGGTCGCCATGGGAACAGAGGTAAACAGAACAAGAAACAAGGGCCTCAAACAGCTTGCAGCTGCCTGGCTCTCTGAGTAAACACTGCACAGGACCTGCCCCTGATTTACTGCCTTTAATCACTGGTGGGAGGAGAGTGCCATGGGGTTTGGACTGAGGAAATAATACGAATCTGATCAAATAAATCAGTCGTAATGGGTTACGGCACAAGCTGACATTTATTAGCAAGCTAGAGAAGAGATAGATATGCTGAGTGCTTCGTGGGGATGAATCTGGGATGGGGTGTCTTCACATTAGGGGCTTTAAGGGGAGTAAATTCCCATCAAAGTACAGTTAATGAACAGTTGTCAATAATACTCTTAATCAATTACTTGTTTAACACAGAAGTCCCCAACCCTGGTCTTTGTGTCCCACTGCATGTTTCAGATCCTGCATCAACACACCTTATTCTAATAAGTGAATTACTTACTGAGAATGTCGTCGGGTTTAGTAGAAGCCCGTCAGTGACTCATTCATTTCAGTCAGGTGTGCTGAAGCAGGGAAGCAGCTAAAACATGCAGAACAGTGGGCGACAGTTACCTCTGGTTTAATACATTAAAAATTTGTTTTTTAATTTTGGATTTCTACTGGTTCAAAAAAATAAGAATGTGTTATTTATCAAGCCGACCTGACATCTGTCACTAAACTGTAACAGATGCCAAGCACAACTTCATTCACTCGTTTTTACATCACGTCTTTGCTGCTTTTCATCTGAAACTTCATGACTTGCAGTAATTGCATTTTAGCCAGTTGATCAACTTTTTTTTTTCTTTTTTTTATGTCTTCAGGGGTTTTATAAAAACACATATTCCCCACACCTTCATTCTTCAAATACAATTTTATCCCTGGTTTCATTCAAACACGAGGCCTCTTTTCCTTTCCTTGTGCAGACATGTGTGCAGCCACTCACCGTCCTATAAAATGCCCCTCTTCTTTGACTTTCCTCCACCCACCTGATCCTTCATTTCCTC